CCTGTAGTCCATGGTTTCAGAGGTGCGGCATCGCGCGCAGACAGAGTAGTCCTCACTAGTTGACCTTGAATATGATGCCATCCAGAGCAAAGATTGCCATAAAACTCACGGCCCGTCACTCTGTCGCAGAAAACATGACATGCTACTGTACCGCCACCTTGAATCTGTTGAGCCCTAAGAATGGCACCACTCACCGCCTCTCCTTCGCCACCCTCGCCGAGAATCGGGTGTCTTAAAGGAATCGCTCACGGAAAACCGAGGTTTCTTTATCCCCTGAGGGTGTGCTACAATTCCCTATCAGAGGCCATGTGCAAAGTCTCGAGTCTGAATGTTCCAATTGTTGAAGAGTAATAAGCTCTGAAAATGTTGATCCAGCTGGCCAGCTGGACACGGGGGCGGAGCCAAAAAGGCCCTTGGAACAGATTGCGTGGCATGCACGGCAAATTCCACGGCAGTCACGGCACTGTGTAAACTGGCGCCGTGTAGCCAAGAAAACCACGTTCTAGCGTGTCAAATCGATAAGCTAGTGAATAAGACCTGATGAGCGAGTGAATGGACTGGCTCGCCAGAGTCTATATCTTGGATTTTTACTGTAGGGCTTAAACTTTTAGTTCTACAGATATGGGTATGTGGCACTTGCTGTCTCTGCCTAAAAATTTTGATCTGTACACAGTTCGGGAAGCCTATTGGTTGCGTAATTGTCTGGAAATTCGGTTTTCCTCTGGAAGACAGCTGAAAAGCCTGGGTCTGGTTTGCTATGAGTAGGTTGTGTAAGAGCAAACCTGAGCCAACACTCTAGCTTGAAGCTTCTTCATTTGCCACAAGAATTCGACATAGCTGTGTTGCTCTTGAAGGCATCGCCCGCCTTCATTTGATGTTCCTACGTCTTCCTTGGATATCGTAGCTTCGTGAGCAGGGCATAGGACGTTATGATTTCGCACCTCAAAAATACGACAGCACAGGTGGGCGGGGCCCCATCCGCTCAGGAAGAGGATGCCGCTCTGCCCCCCTGGGTGCCATGATTGCTTTGAACTAGCCTTCAAAACTGATCCCTCTTCCAAGAATAACGGGTAATGGAGCTCATATATTACGTGAGTCAGTAATGAAGAAAAAGGCGAAAAAATCGTGGAAAATTCCTATATAGAACCCTCATGCTGGCCAGGTGGGCGGGGCGCCGACTCTTCACTAGCAAACGGCGCTATCCTCTCGCTTTTTTCAGATGCAAAACTAGTACATACTGCATCTTCATAAGGAGGGTATATGTTCATGATATCCAGAAAGGGCGCAGGAACACTAAATGAACGTGAGCACTGCATTCAGAACAAAATGGTCATACATTATGCGTCAGTTGTTCCCGAAGGAAACATCGTGTGCGCATCCCTCCGTTGCATTTCATGTACAGGGATGCACACACGACGCTTGGTAAACTCTGTTCCACAAACCGCTTACTAGACGCTGGATCAGCGATGTTAGAATGAGCTAAAAAGTGACTGTTGTTGTTAGTGACGACACAATACAGCGAGGTGTTAGTTGCAATACAACGCTGCTCCTGTATGAGCTACAATTTCACCAAAGAAGTGATCGAAGAGCACGAGAAAAAGTGCCCTGTGAAGTGCGTAGTACCTCTTCGCATTCATTGCAGTGAATAACTGATTATGTGTTCCTTAGACTTTCACCTTCACTACGAGAATAGTACCAGCGTTGGATTCTTGGCCGGAAGAACAGTTGGGTCAAGTTAACACGATAATCGAACTAGTGAATAGGCGTTCTCCTACCGGTGTATCCTGAACGATATCCTCATTGTAAGCACTCAACCACTTGAAACCCATCTTTAGCTTCTTTGGTGCCGTTGTAGCCTGACCTAGCAATTATTGGGTGTTAGGATCGCCCGTGTTAGTATTGTAATTCACAATGTTGTAAGCTATCTGGAGGAGCCTATTGTCGTCAGTGTATTCGGGATCCTCCATCATATCTAGCTCTAAGCCCTCTATCAGACCACTACGAAGGCCCTCTACTCTCATCACCTGGGCTTGTAGATCAGCTGCAGAGTCTTCCACTTCTGCGAGCTGTTGGAAGTGAAGTGGAACCTCTGCAGGATCCAAAATTCCTTTGCTGCCCTTCTGCAGCATCTCCATCCTCAGGTCTAAGACACGACGTAAGATGCTCCTTCGCCACTCGTGCTTCACGGGCGTTTTGATCACGACGGTCGACTGACGAGCCAAAAACTTTCTTTTGACCCGTATCACTCTCGCGACCGTTCTGCTACCGTTTCTCTCAGCGAGGCGCAGCGTGTTGAAATGGAGCGTCGACAGCATATATAGAGCTTGTACGTCTCCAGCGGGCTGAAATAAATTTATAATCAAGCGAAACGGGAATAACAAGCACATTGCTGACTTACTAGAAAACCTCCTTTCGACAGTAAAGGCGATCTAGGGCGTTCTTCGTCTCGCATATTGAGGTCCCCCCATGTGACCCTACTTTCTCCAGATCTTCTTGGAACCGTGCTTTCAAGATGACATCACGGAAAGCATTATACGCTTTACTTCCTAAGGGAAGCGGTTCTGGACGCGGAGAGGTCAAGGCACCGTGAAGACATGAGGTCAAGCAACCGGTGTGGACATTCTAAAGCTGATCGACTTTGAAGAAAGTGAATAAACTTCTGTCAAGTAGAAAGTATGACTACTTCTTCCCACTGATGCACGTCCCTAACATGCATCAGGCAGCCGTTGAACCGATGCTTGATGTCTTTCCCCGAGGAGCCCCGTTCAATACACTTCCAAAGGTGGGTCTTGACCTTCTCAATCCATCCACCAATAGCGCCACACTCTGAGCGGCGAGACTCCTGAAAAGACGTCGAATCCTCGTGCTTATTGAAAATTCACTCAGAATTAGAAATCACCTTTCTCAACTCGTTTCCTAGCCATTTCACGAGATGCCATCCATCAAAATAATGCTCAATAGCGGTACCGTGTACACGCTCTACTTCATCCAGTACGCAACCAAAGCTCCGGCTTCTGTCTGTTGTGAGGGATGCTATTTCTAAGCCTTGCATGATCAACCAGTGCAGGGCTCTCCTCAGTCCTTCTATCTCCATTCTCGGGCTATGGTTGTCTGTGTAAAGAGTAAATTACAATGAAAGTAGGTCAGTATCAACACTTTGAGAACGACTGACCGCACTGGGACCGATCTAACACTTCCGAGTGCATTATAAGTTTGGTGCACTGGTCCGCGACAACCACCTTTCCTATCTCTGCGCTATAGCCTCTGCTGTCATATGAGCCGTCTGCAGCAATATGTAAGCCAGACCCACGTTTCTATAAGTTGGAATATAGCTTTATTTACTACTTTATTCACTTATGTATAGAATTCACGGATTTACCCTGTACTCTTCCCTAATTATCGATAAGACAGTCTGCTGGTGCCACATGTATTCTCGTTCAATGCACGGAGCAGCGACCGAGAAAATTTTGTAGAAGAAACTCTTTGAAAAAAGAGCAATATCAGCTTCTTCAGCCCACCGTTGCAGTTCCTATTAACATAGACATTTGAAAATTTCCCTGTAAACACCTCTGCGCAAATGATGTTTTCTAACATACCACATATCTGGTTCCCGTTGTTATGGCAGCAACAACAGCCTGGACATTCCCTCTGAATGACTTCTCTTTGGGATGTGGAACTGCCCTTTCCTGTCCTTCGAAGCGTTTTTCGAATGGGTAACAAGTCGTGCAGATGTAATCCACGACAGGAGCTGTTCCAACAGCCCTCAGACGCACACATCTTTTCGACTCTGATATTTTGGAGCCGCAAGATGGGCAAAAACGGAAAAGCTTCAGCAACTGGCTTCCCTTTATAAGGAAATGGCGATCGAGCAGAACAGGGTCTGTTTCATCCAACTCCACAATGTCCTGAGAGCCTATCGTTGAATCCGATGGATTTGTATATTGGGAAAGTGGATCTGTGGACTGGGACTGTTGCGTACAAACTCCCTCAGAGGTTCTACTTGTATTCAAGTCCTCTGATCTTTGTGACAACATCCGATCTTCGGTCTCCTCCACAGAAGCAAGTTCGACATCCTCGGCATGAGCTCGTGTTACCTTCTAGCTCTTCTTGTATTTCATCGTCATCAATCTTAAAAACAATTTTTTTGAAGTGAGAAACCTTCACGTTGCTCCGGAGATATATCAGTTCTTTGTACTATCCTACTATATATAATCCGCTAAATGTGTCTGCGTGTGTCTGTCTGTATTTGTCACAAAATTCATAATACCTTCCTCTGCGGCTATCCTTAACAGGCTGCACTATTCCCGTGTAGGTTATGAACGTACCAGTCGGATCGCTGGCTAAGGCCGGCTCTCCTCCTTCTGTGATGCGGGGGGGGGGGGCGCTGCTGCTGCTTCTGCGTCTTGACGGAACAAGCGCTGCTTTTCAGTTCTTGGCTGATGCAGAAGATTCCTTTGAACAGTGTGGTTGGTCAACGATCCGTAACTTAGCACGCGGCAAATCCGCATGGCCCGGCGAAGCCGGGCCATGTCACAGAAGGAGGAGCGCCCGGCGACAGCTGGGCGATCCGACTGGTATGATATATTGTCTCAACAGACGTTCACTTTTACATACATGCAGAGAACTCTTCCTTTTCCTGGACCCCGAAAACTTGCTCTGACTGACTTCCCTGAAATCACGATAGAAGCAGGCCACGTTATTCGATGTTAGTTTGAAACTGGCCTGAACGGAAATGTATTTGCATAGACCACAAACTATAAACTACTGAGACTGTATGCTTACATCAATAGCCAGCCGGTTCGGCTCTAAGCGAACAAGAATCTCCTTCAATGGCACGAGAAGGGACGGTGAATAGATCGCTCACAACAACTTTGCATATCGTGCTCACTGCATCACCAATATAGGTAGCCTGATATCAAATTTGCTCCTTACAAACGTGACCTGTACGCCTTTCTAGTTCTTACCGCTTCACTATAATGACGTCTACAGATGCGTTTGCGTAAACGCACGCATTCATTATAAACCCCGTGCGCATCCGACAAACTCAGTTCTTCCTTCTCCACCATGATACACAACAAGAGTAGCAAGGTGTCTTTAGCCTTTACACGACGGAGGTCGCTCTCTTCTTGACACAGACCACAAAAACGGCAGACAGGCATGGTATCTGCCATATAAGTTAGTTAAGTTTCATATTGTCCGAATATCCGTGGTATATAGCGTGTAAACTGACTCAGACAAGCGTCTCGCCGAAAATAAATGGGTGTCTCTACGCACGCTAATAACTACACGCATCATTTAGGAAGATTTATTATTCCACAAAACACCAATTCGAAGGGACTTTCGCCCTGCATGTATTCGTTCTTGATCACATGTGACCCTCAATAGGGTCGGGTTCCGCTGAATTCAGCAAGAATGCATGATTAGTCCTTGTAGGAGGTGATGTTCATTGAAGGTAGAAGAGCGAAGTGAATGCTCGACAGTAAATGCTTGAAGAAGGTTCAGCAACGAGAATGCCTCCATCTTGCGGGCTGAAAAGAATCTAGTTTGTTCACATACCATCGACGAATCTTATGTTTCGAAATGTCCTACTTCATTATCCTACTTCATCCGAGATATTTTTGTGTTGCCGCATCGTAACAGGCCTTCCGTTCTATGTTGGAGCTATGAGGAGATTGCTGATCGCTGTAACCTGGAAGAATAACTTTGGTTTTCGTGAAAAAAGAGGGCGTAAATTTTTGGACAGGAGTAATACTGAAGGAGAAGGGAGGAGGTGAAAGCACAGAGCAACTCAGCTTCCGTTTCCCACCACTCCTCGAACGGAATCCAGCAGAAGCAGGGTCGTCCCATATCCCTTCTTCCCTTTATCCGAAAGCTAACCCCTCACCCTCTCCCCCATTGGAAAAAGGAAGCTGATGCACCCAGTCAAATGTCCCACGTCCCAAGCTGAATGGAGATTCCTTATCTTTATTCAAGGAAACGTTTAGGAACATTGTACTTTCGAGACATTTTAGGACTTTTCGGGCGTTAGTTCGGCTTGAGAGGGGCATTTTACACTTCCGCTAGTTCCTTTTGTTATCTCCTGTTGGATTACACCACATCTTGGAGCGACCAGTATACTCCTGTCTAGTGTAAACAGAACCCCTGCCACTGTAAAGCTTTACAGATTTTACATACCTCCACAGGATGCATCGGCAGATATCGATGGGAACCAGCAAAATGCCCCCGCCAAACCGAACTGCGTCCTTTGTTTCTTACCAAAAGCCGCATATGCAAAGCCAAGAAATACCATGACCAAAGAAGGCAATCCCGCATCAAATAGGCGCGGAGGCCACTTCTAATAAATTTCAACGGGACAGAATGTTGCTACGATGTTGCTGTGGGTGAGCAAAGGAGCGGTAGCGGTGCACGGTGCACTCTTTGAATCATGTGTCTAAAAGCTCGCAAATATCCGAAGTCGAGAAGTTTGAGCAACTACTTAGTTCCGGGCTCTATGCTCGCATGCCTAGTGCAGGTAGTCATAGAATCTGGGGTGGGGTGGAATCCGGAAACAAGGACATCATGAGGACTGAAATGGAAGTGCAACAAAAGAATTAAACTGAAACCATGGACACAAATGTATAAGTACTACCCCAACAAGATTTCTCCAATGCAGAAATGCGGAAAATGCAGAAGTGCGGAAAGTGCAGAAGTGCGGAATCTGCAGAAAAGCAATAGATACTTATCGACTTGAAGAAATGCAGAAATGCCGAAACTGCAGAAGTGCGGAAAGTCCAGGGGCCGTATGCTATACTCACCCTCGAGGGGAGGGGTCCCCTCTAGGGGAAGACACCCCAGGGGGACGTCCCCCAGAGCGGCCGTATGCTATACTCGAGGGGATCCCCGAAGCGGTAGAGACGCAGAGTTGGCTGGCGCAAATTTGGGGGAAGGGTCGTCCGTACATCCAGCCTCTGG